ACACACACGCACGCACACACGCACACACACACACACACGCGCGCGCACACACGCACACACACACACACACACACACACACACACTGTCTCTTCATTATATTACCAACTTATTTTTAAAAAAGCAGTAAGTTGAAACAAAGTTTCCTCGTAATGCAATGCCGAATTCCGCCAAGCTGAGCAGACATGGCATGGAACCTAAACGTTCTTATACCGATCTCTGACCGTCTAGTCTAGCATGGGACCTTACAAGTCAAAAGTCCTTTTAGTTGTTTTTTTTTTTTTTTTTACTTATGCACCCGTCTCATGTTCACGTTTTATATACTTCTTTTCTAGAGGTATTTTGCATGCTGAACACGAATATAGTTTTCATTTTTTCCGCAAATCAATAGTTATGGAGTGATTGATGTTTGAAAATAGTAAATTTAACAACTTGGGGGTTTTCAGGGGGGCATATGCCCCCCTGACCTAAAAAGAATCTAGGGGGTTTCAGGTGGATGGGGGGGGCATGGCATGCCCTTTGCATTTCACAATGGTTTGATGTTTTGACAATTAGGATTGATATTTACTTGAAAACAATTGATTTGCAAGGGTTTTAGTGGCCACACGTGTGTTCTACAGCAAAAATTAAGGCAGTTTAGCCCTCAAATCAATGCATCTGTGTATGAGTGCATAAGTAAAAATTTACCTCCATTATAGTGTTATAGACAATGACAGGCCATTTGGTGGGAACGAATATTATATTATCCCGTCTACACTTTATTGGACAATTAGTAGGCCGCAACCATACCCGACACGGACGGCCAGACCAGACCGTCTTCGGGCACAAAAGAATGCGCGGCTATCACCGGGTCAGACCGTCTCCGATGAAACATGTCGTTCTCTCGAAGACGGTCCTTCGGGCGAGATGGGAGGTAAATTCAATGATGTTATCTCTCAATAGTTGTGTCCCCTTTCCCCCCAACTCGGAATTCTAGCAGTTCTTGGTCAGCTCTGCGTAGGCCCATCTCTAGCAGTTAATTGAAATTGCTATGTTTCATGCTATACTATTGTTGGAATTTTTCACTGTCTTCCAACAACTGCGAGAACAAAATGATGAAATTCGCCTAGTGTATCACGCTTTCTTTGGATGGGATGCATGGAAAATCTTCTTGTCTTGGTATTCATTTTTTTTGTCTGCGTCTCAAAAGCAACAACAATAATTTTCTTCTTCTACCACACGCCATATTTGCAAGACGGCAGTGTCTGACCGCTAATCTCGGTGTTAATATGGTCGGCCGCACCCGACGGAAAACGGCGGGTCTGGTCTGACTATCGGTGTCGGGCGTTAATATGGTTCTACCCCTCGCACACCGATGACGTTTCCCATGGAGTTCTCCACCGGGAGCTCGGATGCTCGTGGCCTGAACGTTCAGTTCAGGGGATAAGGGTTCAAAGTCATAGTATTAATAGGCTATTACATACGCGTGCACACACATACTCACTCACGCACGCACGCCCGCACGCACCCACACATACATACACATACGAACATACGCACATACAAATTCACAACGATCTACAGCTTGGATGGATTCTGTCTAATCGAAATATGATGAAAATAGAAATGCTTTTAGTTTTTTCTTTAAAATTTCTAGATTTTCTGCTTTTCTGGTAGTTTTTGGAAGCGTATTCCAAACGCGTGGGGCAAATTATGAAAAAGAGCGTTGGCTATATGATTTGTAATTTATTTCAGGTTTAACAAGGGTTGTTTAGTCACTTGATGATCTGAGCGTTCTATAAAGGTGGTACATAGGGTATAGGGAGTTCAAAACTGTTTTAGGTAGTCAGGTGATAGATCATTTAAGCACTTGTAGCAAGTTAAACAGTTTTTATAAATGATACGCTCTTTCACCGGGAGCCAGTGTAGTTCTTTAAAGATAGGAGTCATATGATCATGCTTTAGTTTCTTAGCAATTTATAGGGCCTACATGTATTGGGTTGCAAATTCCGTCACTTACTGAAAGTCACAAAACTTTTATGATCCACATCCAACAAAATAAAATAAAATTACCCCCCCCCCCTCACAAAAAACCCCACAACTTAAAAAAACAAACCAACAATAATCAACACAAGACAAACAAAAATCTAACAGAAGCGTAGATGTAGGATAATATGTATATACATAGGGTCATATACTTCCTACATCTATGACCAAAAGCGATTTTCAAATGACCCAAAATAAGTATTTTAGATGCCACTGCAAGAATTAAAAAAAACCCAACCCCCCCCCCCCCAACCCCCCCCCAACAACAAACAAAAGAAAAAGATTGCAATACGCCAAATTTGCCAAATTACGACAGCGAAAGCAAAACCCACAACAGACACTGGTGTCAGCGTCACAACTTTACCAGGCCGTCCGTAATAAATAATAGTATTTTATCCGTTTCTTCGGTCTGAATCTTTCTAGCCTACTTTTTATATCTCACTGAGAACGTTCCGATAATAAGCAACGTATGTCCGTAGGCTCAGGTATGCATTACTATTTCTTTCAGTACATAAAATCACGAGCCACGGAGGATATTTACCTGTTTTTTCACAAACATAGATAATTACAGACATTTCTACGGAACAATTCATTTTTTATATGTAACCAATTGCACAATTGATTCCATGTAAACCGTTCGTTTGTGAGACCAAACCAAACACTATCTAAACGGAACAGGGCACTAGCTTTTTCGTTCGTTGTTCCGGCCTGAGGGTCACCGGAAGATTGTTTCGAGGTCTGTTATAGAATCTTTCCTCTAATCTAAAACCTTGGGAACAGGCTAGAGGGATACTACTGAGGTTTGCACTTCAAATTTTGCCCTAGATATCTGGGCATTAAATGTGTTTTAAGGGAATTGTGACTTTTATTCTGTCATTTTTAGGTATGCTTTTGCAACGTTTCTGTTTGAGGTGGGCTCTTCTTTGACTTTGAATTATTGGATTGTTTGTTGGGGAGTTTGTATGTTTCTTGTACTTGAACTTGCATCCCCCAACAAATCACTCACTGACAGAACTTGGCCTACTCATTTCGTTCTCCAAAGTCAAAACTTCTGCCATGTTATGGAATCTCACACAGATATGATAGATCTATATACCCCCCCCCTCCCCAACACACACTCACACAAACATCCACGCTCTGACTCTCCTCTGCAGATGCTATCTGCATGATGAGTCAAAGTCAATGACAATGTCTCTATCATTAGGACTATCATCTAGATTTTAGATCTAAAAATCTAGATCTAGATTCTAGATCTAGATATCTAGATCTAGATCTAAATCTAGGTCTAGAGTCGATGTGCCCTACCGTGGCGGTGACCCCAGTGCGGCAGTTGGTTGGTCTAGTTTCGGCAATTTTTCACCTAGATCTAGATCTAGATCTAGATCTCTAGATCTAAATCTACTACTTTTGTTTTTGTAAATTTAAACGATGCGAAATTTAAAACTGCAGTGATGTCCCTTGCGCTGTTTCGTTTCTCTTTCTTTCCTGATCATTTGCGAACATGTGGCAATTTCGAACCTGGAAGTCGAAATTTTGTCGTTCGTACCAATTTTGACTTCGCTTTTTTAGTTTTCAGGTGCGTTTGCACTTTTTATCACATATTAAAAGGGTGTTTTCTTAATGATGTCTTTTGTTATATTATATTTATTTGGTGGATAAATGGCTACAAATGATTTTGCAACATGATGTGTCGCGATTCGTGCATTTTCACGTGTTGAGAGAAAATGCCACAGTAAGGGCACTATGACAAATACTTTTTACCGCAGCGCGGCAGTACTGTCGCGCTGGGTTTAGGGGTCAAGAGAGTGAGAAAGAAAGAACTACATTGTTTTAGTCAGTTTACTGATGTTGCTGTATTCATTTGTGTGTGTGTACATGTGCGCAGAGATGCCAACCAGTACGATTTTACGTTATTTAGTACGATTTTTTGCCAAAATACGCGAATACGACTTTTCATGAAACAATATACGCATCATTGAATGCGAAAAATACGAGATTCAGCTTGGGCGAGTAAACTTTATATTATCTCAAGTCCCATCTTTTGTCAAAATAATCTAGATCTAGATTTCTAGATCTAGATTCTAATATCTAGTATCAGTATCGCAGAACTGGAATATTTGAAAACCAAGTCCGATGTGGTCAGTAAGTTCATTTTTGCCGGTCACGATCGTTATATTATATTATATTCGTTCAGCTGTTCCCCGTCCGGAGAGTACGTTTCACTTTCACGGAAACATTTGTTGCATGTAGGTTGTGCAGTATAAACAAAGAGTCTACATAACAAGAGGGGCCAGTTATGTACTATCTTTGGTATAAATGCAATGTCGCCGTTCAAATAAAATGTAATAAATACTCGGACTGGTCGCTTTGGCTGTCACTTGTGCAAAAAAAAAAAAAAAAAAAAAATACAAGCGTCGTCCGATTTTTAGATTGTCTGGCTCGTCATTGTGACCGGTCACTGAACCTGCGCGCATTCGCATCATAAATAAATGCGGCATCATGTGAGTAAAGACCGTCTTTGGTGGGAGTAACGGCGCTGCGAAGTATATATATGACTACGGAACAGCGGAGGAGATTATTGATTTTTTTGGGGTTTAAAATACTATCGGGAGGGGGGAGGGGGGGGTGGGGTTCAGGCAACACCAGAGGTAAAAAACTTGAAGCACATTTTAGAATTTTGATGAGAGCTTTCTGCAAAGCGAGCATTGATGCAGGCCATATGTGCGGAATCGGGACCCCCCATACTTTGCAAATCTGTGTTATTGAAATAAAGTGTTCGCGTTTCATTGGATGGGTGAAAGTAATTATACCTACTTGGGTGGGTGATATTAAATTATACCTCTACAGTGTATGTTGTAGCTTTCTGTTCAAGACTGGCAGATTTTCTGTTTCACTGCATCTTGCCCTACCACAGTTGTTATAACTCTTACAGTGCTTGGGTCTACTTGAGCCATTCAAATTTCTTTAAAGCATTGTATTGGCTCACAATGTTATGGAGTTTTCTCTTTGAAATGGAGTTTTGGTAGATCTTCCATTCAATTTAGCACATAATTTTCAAGGGAAGTTTCTTAAAAACCGCGAAAACATTGTTTGGACCCAAACTGCACCCCAAAAATCTGTGTGTGGCCTTAATTATTACTGCCATTCCTCTGCGAGTTGGAAAACTGATAATGGAGAACTGCTAGCAATAATCGTGCGTTAATGTCACAGGAGGGTTTCAAGTAGCAATGACGATAACCTACAGTTGTCATGCAATAGCTTTTCAGCAATGACTGTCTCGAAAACATATAAGGCAAAAATTTTATTCATATGGATGTTTATCATTATTGTCATTTGTCTGATGGCTCTAGACGGAGTTCTTATGCAATGAATTTATTCCCAGATAAAGCTGGACTGACCAGACGCCATGCTACGGCTGTGGCCTTTACGTCAAATTTCTCGGCTGCAAAATGCCATCAGCTTGACTCAGCAAGGTATACTGTGTGATATTTAGAACTAGATTAAATGGACTTAATAGCTTGTTTTGTCTTTTAACCCATTGCACCCGAGCCACATGTATATTCGATTCGTAGCTACCACACGTTTCTGTCCACTGAGCTATGACAATTTCAAAATATCAGTCCATAAAATCGAGTCCAAACCACTTATCCAGGTTTCTATTGAAAATTTTGCAAGCTTGTTTTGATCCAGGTTTTCACCAAGTACAAGTTATTTTTTGTTGTTTTGTCACCGCAATTCATGGCAGGAAAGCGAGCATTGAAATCTTCATGGACGAGAAGAAAGAAAAACAGACACAAAAAACAAGAGTGCCACGACTATTTTTGTGTTTTTAAAAATGCATGAAGCATGTTTTTAGTTTTGTTTTGGGCATAAGCGGCAAGGAAAGTGAAAGTAGGCATAAATCTAGAAAATCATCGCGATCGAATTGATTTTAGCGCCTTGAAAACTTCGAAGTAAAGCTAGATCTAGACCATAGATTTACTTTTAGTTGCTATGTGCTATGGGTAAATGGAGTGCTGATGAGTCGCAGACGGAAGAAGAATATATTTTTTTATCTGCTCTTTCCTTGATCTTTCTCTCTAATAATATTAAAAGAACATTTTAAGTAAAATCTAAGCTAAATTTCATATTGATAGCTTAACTAGTTTGGGCTCAATGCGTGTCTAAGGTTAGTGTGTTGAGTTTGGACTGATTTTTCCCCCGGCTGGCGGCAAGCCAGGTGGACACAAGTGCACTGCTGCCGCAGCGCAGGGTGAATTGGGTTAAGCAGGTAATGATTTAAGTTTTATTGATTTTAAGTTTTACTCTTTCGTTTTCATTTGTCAATAAGTTCATAAATGAGAAGAAGTGGAACTTATGGCTTAATGCGATGACATCTGACATAAAAATAATGGGTATATATGCCAGTGGCTCTTTGAAAGTAGGTCTTTGTTCTCTGTATTTCCTGATGAATTGTATTTGAGATTAGCTTAACAATAACAATAAACAGTGTATATTGTCCAAGGTGGCCACCCATTGTCAAGGAGGAGAGTGGTCATCTTAGAAAACAAATGTAAAGGGGAAGTGGCTGTTTGTACAGGAAAATGTCTTAAACATTTGGCGTTTAAAGTAGGTTTGACTGTATTATAGTAATTCCGTGAAATATGAGTTAAATATTATGTCAAAGTGTCTCTCAAAAGACTTGTATCTCTAACGTTTTTCTCCTTTGAAATTATTGGGAATATTTATAATCTATTACAATTACATGCCCTTATTTACACTCATATTTTTGTATAACTCACTCGAAAAGAGGAAAAAAACCCAAACGAATTGTAAAGAAATGAACTGTTCTATACCATGAAGTTCGGACAAGTCTTCGGCGATCTGGTGGAGGAGTGGAGTGGGGGTGATCCAACAACTTGTCTAGCAACTGCTAACCTAGTTTAGAATGGCTAGCATAGTGTATGATACTGAAGATTAACTTATCACTTAATTAAAAAGTGTTTGAAAACATTTTACATTTCCTCTGTTATTGTAACTAATTAGAAAATATATTTGGATTTATACTTTACCATGACATAGTCTCTTTAATATTTTGAAAACCCATATAATGGAAATTGATTTTATGATCAGAACAACACCTGGGAGTCAATTCATTAAGCACATTGTAGGAATAAGTCAAGTATGTTGTATTACAACTGTGTGAGTTATTTGAAGAAGTATACATTTATAGTTAAAGTAATTATATTATATGTTCAGAATCAGATTTTAGGGTTAGGTTAAGACAGCAGTGCTCAAAATGTTGAGTTCAGTGCCATCTTAAATGAAATGCTTCCATTTTCCCACAGCATGTAACAAGTCCTCAGTACCTGCACCATCTCCCGAGTTGGTTGAGGTTTTTGTGGACGATAAACAAGTGTTTGTTGAGCCAGGGACTACTGTTCTCCAGGTTTGTGGCTACACAGAATTGATAAAAAGCAGAGGTTTCAGTTTGTCTCTCAGCATGGTATCAAGCTCATCACGCGTTAGTTGTGTTAGATTTGTGTACATCTGCACCAACATTAAATTTGTGAAGATAACTGAAAATGTTACAGTGTTGAGGATGGATGTTTTCTCCTTTTGTTCTTCCTGTTGTTGAAATGGGCTTTCTAAAATTTCTCAGTTTTTGTCAACCCTGCATCTTGTGTTGGGTGGGTTCTATGAGATTTTCACGAACATTCTTTAAAAAAAAATCCACTCCATCATGCTATGTCTATAAAAATTAAGTATTAGCAAAAATGTTCGTTTTGTACTTCTCAGTCATTCAGTTTTTCATTGCTATTGATCCAATATTAACTTCTGTTGAATGCAGGTATATTAATTGAATTTTTTTCTTCTACTTCTGCAAACCCCTGCAACAGATCAGGCGGATACTAACTGAAAGTTCTTCATCTCTCAATGCTGTTGATTTTTATGTATATGGCCATTTTATCATTCCTTGCCTGACTCGAGGTCACATGCTGTTTTTGAAGGTACTCTAAATAATATTTTTTGATTACTGGCTAGCGTGGCTTCAGTTTTGAGTAGAAATTAATATTGAATTTTGCTAGGACAGTGGCTGAAAGGCCCTACTCTTTTTGATTTTAGAACCACCAAGGTTCTCTTTGTGAAATTTCCACTGGAACCTCAGAAATCTTTGAATCTTTCACTCTTATCCAAGAAAACTAGGTTTTTGATCCTACCCACCCAGAATTAAAGGCAGTACGAAACATGTGACCGTGAAAAAAACACTCAGGTCCACCGGGTTGACCGAATACCGTACTTGTTGAGCTGCTGAGCCGACACTAACTGAATGAAGTTAAATTTTTTCGGTTTTTGTTATCCTCTTTGCATGCAATCGTTTTTGGCATAGCTTTGTGGTTGGACTGTCAGAAAAGCCACTGAGAAGTTAATAGAGATTCTTGCTCCTGCTGTTTGTATTTCAAGATTTTCTAAGAATTTGAGGAAAATGGGTGTTTGATGATCTAGCTCATGAGCTAGAGCCTGGACTTATTGAGGTTTACTGTTTTGTGTTGGACTAAATTACTTAAATAGATGTGATTCCTTCTTTTTGCTTGCGAATAGGTCGTTGATGTCTGAAAAAAGATTTGTTCTCCATCTTGAATAAGATCTTCCTTATTGTTTTTACCATGTGTTGATTAGAGCTTTCCTTTCTCATTTCTTTGTTAACGTGGTTTTCTACTGTTTGATATTGTACCAATCAACATCTCTCAGGCTTGTGCAGCAGCAGGAGTGGAAATTCCAAGGTTCTGCTACCATGATCGTCTTTCTATCGCTGGGAACTGCAGAATGTGCTTGGTGGAAGTGGAAAGGTCGGCAAAGGTGAGTGTGCAGTGCTGAAAGGTATTGTACTCAAGCTGTTTTGTTTCCAATGAGGAATTGTGCTATTTTTGTGATGAGACCCTCTCTGCGGTAGTTTGTTTTGTGAGAGTTGAATGTCCAAGGAGACCTAAATAGGTTGTTTCATTGACACTGTTTTTGGCAGAGTAATTGCAGGAGGAGGATGGATGTAAAGAAAGCAGAGACAGTGCGCCATAGTAAATAGAGCAGATCTACATCCGAGCGTAGATTTTCATTCTTTATGTCTCCCTCAAAGGGGTTGCACTTCCGGCAGGTGACCTTTGGGTCTGTTTGACCTCTGATCCAATGGTGGTTCTGTAAAAGTTACATAAATGACTGTAGATTGCGTCCATTTTATTTTGCAAAATAACAACAAATCATGGCAGTTTTCATGTTCTCTATCTTTGTCTCAACAGCCAGTGGCTTCTTGTGCCATGCCTGTCATGAAGGGAATGAAAGTGAAGACTGACTCCCCGGTGACGAGGAAAGCAAGGTCTGTAATTTGGGTTTCTGTATCTTTTAGTGAAGCAACCATGACAACAATAGTACAAGCACCACTACCAGCTCTACTTTTTACACTGGCAGCTGTGACCATCAAAACTTCTGCAAATACTGAAAGAAAAACAGTCCACTATTTCATTTTTTATAATCCTCACTTGACACTGTACAATCTTCACTTGAACACACTGAGCATTGTGTATGTTCTTCTTCAGACAGTATCTGTCTACCTCTTTTTTTTTTTTTTTGCTTCATTTATTATAAATATTTCAGATTATTTGCTTTGTGGAGTCTCGTGTAAAATGAGCTCTGAAATTTGACATGAAAATGAAGATGGGCTCTCTTAAGGGTTTTTTTGGACATGAAATATGGTCTTGGTAATCTTATTCCTGAGTTATTATAGATTACTGTTTACTACAGGTTGTCTGTATCACTTTGTAGGTTATGAGAATTGTAGCAGCAGTGCTATCTTAACTTTTAAAGCATGCCCTATTTTGTACAGAGCCTCCCAATTTTAGATGGGTTCAGAATTTTTATGATGTCTTATGATGTCTATCTCTGTTAGGAAGAGGCAGACAAGCTTATTGGCACTTGATGTCAGACAGTGATCAGGGCTGGTAGCTAGTTATATCTCTAGACTTTCAGGTTTCTCATGAAGTTTCATTAAGGGGAGACGTACACTCCAGGAAAAATTTTCTAAATGAATGACTTTTATTCACTTTCATATAATTGTGCAAGAAGTTCATAGGTAAATAGGATGTACTAAGGGTGAATTTGTTGAATTTTTCTGAAAAATGGGTCTCTGTGATGGCCATCTTGGATTTTCAAACCAGTTTCTTAGTGCAGAAGAATTTCATAGTAAATATTGAAAAATCAGCCTGAAATTTGGCACACAAGTACAAACCTATATGAACTGGGGATCCATGTGAAGATTTTGACCTATCTTTAAAACTAAAAAAGTGAGCCCAAATTCATTGGACCCCCGAGGGTCAGTTGACGAAATTTTAGAGTACATATTTAAAAGAATTTGAATATTTCCACAAGTTACCAATATTTCCCAATTCCCTCACATAGACCCCCAGATTAGATCTTAAACCACCTGTACACCAAATTTGAAGCTTCTAGCTTCAGTAGTTTTTGAAAACTCCTTGCACCAAGGAGGTCACATATGTCAAAAGAAGATTTAGAGAGAAACAAAAAAACTGGGATTTTAAAAAGGATTTTTAGAGCAATTTACACTTTTCAAATGCCCTTTTAGATCATTTCAGGTGTTTTTTCAAGTTTCTTTATTGTGACCCGATAGAACAGATGTCAAAGGATGTTTTTTTTTTTTTTTTAGCAAAAAACAAAAATTGGATAGTTTGAAAAATGTTATCGATATTGCCTGGGATCGTCGACCCGGGTCTTCCCTTAAAGGTTCATTTCGCAGTCTTTGTGTTAGAAAATTTTTTAAGAAACTCCCTTTTCTTTTTTTGTTACAGGGAAGGCGTTATGGAATTCCTTTTAGTCAACCATCCACTGGATTGCCCAATTTGCGATCAGGGTGGAGAGTGTGATCTGCAGGTTTGGTGACTTTTATGTTTCCTTTTTGCCCCTAATTTTATAACTAGATTTTGTTGCTTTCTTATGACTAGTGACTATGTAGGATTTTTAAGGGGTCTAGCTACCAAGAAAAGCTGTCTTCATTAGTTATGCATCTTTTGAAACCAAACTTTCCCAAAGTAGGTGGTACCCTCTCAGAAATAAATCAAAATATTTAAAAACATTGTAACCCAAAGTGTTATGCAACACCGGTGGCCATATTGAAATTATAAAAACATCTTAAAATTTTGAAAACCTAAAGGCGTAATGTTATTTTAAAAATAAATATCAAGTTAATAATACTATGTACCAGGTACCTGGCTGGGTTTTTTGTTGTTGTATACTTCCAATATTCTGGAATTTCCGGTTGTTTTAGAGTAATGTGCCTTTTTTTGTATCAATTTTAAACGCAACATCAATTTCAAATGAAGATATCTGAAGTATTAACACTTTACACCCTAAGGGCCTGGACGGGAAGTCCATTGTTAGATCCTAAGCAAGGGGAAGGAATCCATCTCCCATGAATACAAGCGTTTGAAAAACACATTTTAAAAATACTAAACAAATTCCCAAAATCTTGAAAAAATAAAAGTTAAAAAGAAAACTGAATGTAGTTTCAGAAAAAAACAACTTTATGTATGCTCAAATTGTTGGAAATGTTCTAACTTTAGTTCAATTAGGGTGTCCGACCCGTCACTCTCACTCTCAGCTTTAATGTCCGGCCCTAGATCTAAATTCTAGATTTTCGACGCCTGATCAATCTGAATCGTCCCAAACTCGTGCCACAACGTTTTCATCAAAATCTGAGCCATCTGATTTGTCACATGCTTGTTTTTGCTCAAATTCATCGTTATTTCTGTTTTAGAACTGAATTGTGTCGCTTTTCAACAAGTCGAGACACTTTCGAAGTATCTGTAACGCGATCGCACTTCGATCAGCTCTAATACTAAAACTACTGACCCGAAAAATTTCATTTCGGTATCAAACAAAAGAAAAAACTTTTTGCTATGACTATGCAAATCAAAATCTCGGCCCCAGAGTCTCGCCAAGGCGATACTTCGTTTCTAAAGACGCTAGTTCGGCGCGGGCGGTTCCGGGCGAGTCAGGATGGAGCGCGTAAGGGAATTCCCGGGCGATCCTGGGCGAGTTAGAGTGTAATGTGTTAAGTACATTTTCTCAAATATAACTAGCCAGGTACCTGTAACTACCAAATCTGCACATACTTGGAAAGTTTCAGTACATTATCTTGATCAGTAGCTCAGACTTGAAGATTTTAGTGATGAAGGGTCTTTAAAAGATAAAGTTTTGAGAAAAACGCATTAAAAAATGTTACTGTGTAATTTGAGGGTTTGTTCCTTCCAGAGGCTCCAGGACCATATGCACTATTATTTCTAATCACATATAAAATCTCATTTCTCTACAGTTTCAAATGACCTCATTTATAGAAGTTTAGTGAACCAAGTAGATACAAAAAATAACAAAAAAGGTGCTAAACGGTCATTTTTGCAAGAAGTGGTTGAGGTCGCTTGAGACGTATTTTCACCTATTTTATCAATTTTTTTATCAAATGGACCTGAAAATCTGATTCAGCAACGATCAAAAGGTGTTAAAAAGCTGCTTTCCAGAAAATCAATAATTTCATCGAAAATTAACCAAAAACGTTACCTGCGAGACCCCTTAAACTTGTCAATTTGTCCTATACTGCCATGCATTTCGAACTGTCCTATTTTCATCATTTTGATTTTATTTCCTCAAGGTAAATGTTTTCATCCCTTTTTATTGTGTTTTTGTTAAAGCAGCTTCTTAGGTTTTGCCCTTCCTTTCAGCTCAGTGCCCGTTTGATAACTCAGAAGCCAATTATAATATGGTGCATTTTGTTGTACACGATGTTGTCTTGATAGAAAAGGGAGCAAAGTTGTTAATGACATTAAAAATTTTTTTCATTTATTCATGAACAATGTTGCGTATACTTTAGAGAAGGATCTGATTTTCTAGCCTGGATTTCATCTTGTTTGGAAGGTATAATGTAAAATTTAGTTTACTTCTGTTCCAGGATCAGTCCATGGCCTTTGGCAGCGACAGGAGCAGGTTCACGGACAACGCCTTCACTGGAAAACGTGCTGTTGAGGACAAAAACATTGGACCTTTGATTAAGACGATCATGACTAGATGTATACATTGCACTCGTTGTATCAGGTCAGAGTTCTCTTTAAATTGATGACCAAATAAGTAAAATCCAGCAAATGAATTGGTTTTTGAAAAATATCCAGAAATCTAGTGAGTGAATTCAATTTGAGCAAAGCATTTACGAAGATGTCAATTGCAATGGTTGATATTCTTGTCCACAGCATGCGAAAATTATGGGAAAGTGATTTGTCTGTAGTCTAAAATGTTGCTATTTTTTGGTTTTATTCTTCAGATTTGCCAGTGAGATTGCTGGTGTTGAGGACCTGGGAACGAGTGGCCGCGGCACTGAGATGCAGGTTGGGACTTACGTGGAGAAAATGTTCAAGTCTGAGATGTCTGGAAATGTTATTGACCTTTGCCCTGTCGGAGCTTTGACTTCTAAACCATATGCCTTTACAGCTAGGCCCTGGGAAAACAGGTGAACCTCTTTAAGAAAGGGAGAACGTTTTGCATTTTTCCCAGCCCTGAAGACATTTTAGTAAAGAATTTTGACCTCTTGACCTTATATGCAATGTAATCTCACAAAGATCTTTGAGGCATATTGAAAATTTGTACACAATCCAACATCTCCAACTTTGTGTAAATTGATTAGAGTGATTTTGAAAATCATGAACTGGAAAAAAAAAGTTTTCAAAAAAATTGTTATATATTGGGGTATATATTTCCAAGCTGGTCGTCAGAGATAACTCTTTGTCCAAATATATGTATCTCAATTTAAAAAAAAAAAAACTTTCTTTTTTTTTTGGGGGGGGGTTCAAGGCTTTACTCACACTTGGCCATTTTGTATTTATGTTTTATTTTTGGTGCGGTTGTCTCACATTTTAATTGAACTTATGCATATGTAATGGGACCTGAACCCATATCATAGCAAAGGATGTTGTTGTACTTCATATTTCTATAGGAACATCAGCTGTTTTGGGTAATTGCGTTCATGTGTGATTTTCAAAGAACTGTAATGATATGCCCACATTTCAGTGTTTTTGTGTATGCTATATGAGATATGCACCATGTTTGATATTGTGTTATGGAGACTCTAATTTCACACTACTTTCACAAATGATATCTAGAAGCCATTTTTTAAATTTGCTTTTGGGTTCTGATGTTTCCAGGAGAATTGAAAGTGTTGATGTGATGGATGCTGTAGGCAGCAACATTGTGGTCTGTATGCGGTCCAACGAAGTGATGAGAATCTTGCCACGGTTGAATGAGGTCAGTGTGTCACTGTGAAAATGTTGAATTTATTTGTATCATCATGTGGAAGGCTCACATAACCTCAACATTCCCTTCACTGGTCTGTTCCCTCAGAAGATACAGAGTTGTGAAGGTCATGTTTTGTGCCCCCACTATATTTTAATCTAATATTTACTCCACAAAATTCATAGAATGTTTTGCCCCCATTCAAGTTTCATGCTTCTTAGCCATTTGGTTGGTGTTGGCCCTGTGAATTACGTCTCATTGTACGCTGCGTTCACTTCTTGAGATTGGCGGTTTGTCTTTGTTAGTGTGGACTGCAACGCATGACCAAGTACTTAGATCTGCTTTGTCATGTTACCAAGTCCTGACAGCAAGAGGGGTCTTCTGGGAGTGGGCTTTAAGTTTCAGCTCTCTCTTCGTTCCCCCCCTTACACATTTTTGGTTTGCTTCCTTTGTAAACCTGAAAATTGATAGTTGTTGTACTGCTGCGGTATTGACTTTTAAGTTAATGATTTCCAAACTTGCCAGTCTGTTCCGTGTAGTATATAGAAGCTCAATGAACTAGCCATTCTCAATAAATATCAAGTACTTCATGGAGTCATGAATGGGTTGTAAGTGCTACCGCAAAACTAGCGCTTGGTTTGAGTCGGATCAGAATTATTGTTCTGTTTTCCTGGAATATTTTCTCTTAGTTAATGTCATTATGAATGATGAAGTAACTATCCTTTGAAATTGTAATGACTTACATTGTGTCTACTTTGGTGTTTAACTTGAACAATGGCAAGGGCACCCAGAGGAATTTTTACTTTTATGACCCACTGCATTCATTCTGGCCATTGCACTTTCAGCTGTATGTAGGTGTGCGTGAAAGAGTTTTATAAACTGTTCTCAGAAATAATGCTATAAAAAAAGGTAAGACTAGCAGCACTCGTCATTTTTCTACTTCATTTACACCAGGTCATGTATATTTGACAGCTGAGAAGACTTGAGAGAAAATTATGCATTCTGTTTAGTAAGTGTACCTTTTTCTTAATTTGCAGTGAATAGGTGAACAATTTATTTTGTTGTGTGATTTTCACCCCTGGGTTATTCTTGAAGAAAAACATTTGATTAGGTGGATTGAAAGATCATGATAGCTTTGAAGGCAAAGTTTTAGAAACACTTAGATTGGCTGTGCCCCGCAGTGCTGTTGTTTGAACCCAGCAGTCTGAACAGAGTCAATAAAATATTTATTGTTTTCCAACTGTTGCAAATACATAATGAACATTTTCTGATCTGGTGTTTCTATGAGAAGAAAATGGAATAATTTGTAAATAGTGAGACATGATGTCAAGATAGTTTTATCATTTTACTGGAAAGATCTCAAGTGCCTTGATTGATCAGTCATTTTCAAAATATTAGATCAGTTTGTCTTTGTTAGTGTGGACTGCAACGCATGACCAAGTACCTAGATCTGCTTGGTCATGTTACCAAGTCCTGACAGCAAGAGGGGTCTTCTGGGAGTGGGCTTTGAGTTTCAGCTCTCTCTTCGTTCCCCCCCTTACACATGTTTAGTTTGCTGCCATTGTAAATATGAGGAAATTGATAGTTGTTGTACTGCTGCAGTATTGACTTTAAGTTAATGATTTCCAAACTTGCCAGTCTGTTCCGTGTAGTATGTAGAAGCTCAATGAACTAGCCATTCTCAATAAATATCAAGTACTTCATGGAGTCATGAATGGGTTGTGGGTGTTACCTCAAAACTAGCGCTTGGTTTTTGTGGTGCAACGAGGATGAGAACTGCTGTAGCACAGTTAGTTTTTGACTTTTTCTATTTTTCTAATATGCGAAAGTTTGAAGTTCAAATCTGAGTTGGATCAGAATTATTTTTCTGTGTTACTGGAATATTTTCTCTCAGTTCAATGTCATTGTGAACGATGAAGTACCCTACCATTGAAATTGTAATGACTTACATTGTGTCTACTTTGGTGTTTAACTTAAACAATGGCCAGGGCACACTGAGGAATTCTTACTTTCATGACCCACAGCATTCATACTGGCCATTGCACTTACAGCTGTATGTAGGTGTGAGTGAAAGAGTTTTATAAACTATTTTCAGAAACTATGCTGTGAAAGAAGGTAGACTAGCAGTACTCGCAGTTTTTAGCTTCATTTACACCAGGTCATGAATATTTGACCACTGAGAAGAGAAAACTAAGCATTTTGTTTTGTTTAGTAAATCTAGCCTTATCTTGATGAGCAGTGAATGGGCGGAAAATGTATTTTGTTGTGTGATTTTCACAACTGGTTTATTCTTGAAGAAAAATATTTGTTTAGGTGGATTAGAAGATCTTATAAGTTTGAAGGCAAAGTTTTAGAAACACTTAGATTGGCTGTGCCCAGCAGTACTGTTGTTTGAACCCTGCAGTCTGGAAGAGTCTTTGAAATATTTTTGCTTTTGAAACTGTTGCAAGTACGTAAAGAAAATTTTCTGTTCTGGTGTATCTATGAGAAGAAAATGGAATAATTTGTAAACAGTGAGACATGATGTCAAGATAGTTTTATTGTCTTACTGGAAGATTTTAAGTGCCTTGACTGATCAGTCATTTTCAAAATATTAGATCAGTTTGTCTTTGTTAGTGTGGACTGCAACGCATGACCAAGTACCTAGATCTGCTTGGTCATGTTACCAAGTCCTGACAGCAAGAGGGGTCTTCTGGGAGTGGGCTTTGAGTTTCAGCTCTCTCTTCGTTCCCCCCCTTACACATGTTTAGTTTACTGCCAGTCTGTTCCGTGTATTATGTAGAAGCTCAATGAACTAACCATTCTCAATAAATATCAAGTACTTCATTGAGCCATGAATGGGATATGAGTGTTACTGCAAAACTAGCTCTTGGTTTTTGTGGTGCAACATAGATGTGAACTGCTTTGGCACAGTTAGTTGTTGACTTTTTCTATTATGCAAAAGTTTGAAGTTCAAATCTGAGTCGGATCAAAATTATTTTTCTGTTTTCCTGGAATATTTTCTCTCTGTTCAATGTCATTATGAATGATGAAGTACCCCACCTTTGTAATTGTAATGACTTGCATTGTATCTTCTTTGTTGTTTAACTTGAACAATGGCCGGGGCACACTGAGGAATTCTTACTTTTATGACCCACTGCATTCATACCAGCCATTGCACTTACAGCTGTATGTAGGTGTGAGTGAAAGAGTTTTATAAACTGTTCTCAGAAACGATGCTGTGAAAGAAGGTAGACTAGCAGTACTCTCAGTTGTTAGCGTCATTAACACAAGGTCATGTATATTTGACCGCTGAGAAGACTGGAAGAGAAAATTAAGCATTCTGCTTTGTTTAGTAAACATAACCTTTTCTTGATTAGCAGTGAATAGGTGAAAATTTTATTTTTAAAAATGATTTTCTCCTGCGGGGTTATTCTTGAAGAAAAAATTTATTCAGGTGGATTGAAAGATCATGATAGCTTTGAAGGCAAAGTTTTAGAAACACTTATATTGGCTGTGCCCAGCTGTGCTTTTGTTTGAACCCTGCAGTCTGAAAGAGTCAATAAAATAATTATTGTTTTCCAAACTGTTGGAAATACATAATGAAAATGTTCTGTTCTTGTGTTAATATAAGAGAAGAAAATGGAATAATTTGTAAACTGTGAGACATGATAACAAGATAGTTTTATCATTTTACTGGAAGATTTTAAGTGCCTTAACTGATCAGTCATCTTCAAAATATTAGATCAGTTTGTCTTTGTTAGTGTGGACTGCAACGCATGACCAAGTACCTAGATCTGCTTGGTCATGTTACCAAGTCCTGACAGCAAGAGGGGTCTTCTGGGAGTGAGCTTTAAGTTTCAGCTCTCTCTTCGTTCCCCCCCTTACACATGTTTAGTTTGCTGCCTTTGTTAAACATGAGGAAATGGATAGTTGGTGTACAGCTGCAGTATTGACTTCAGTGCATGATTTCCAAACTTGCCAGTCTGTTCTGTGTATTATATAGAAGCTCAATGAATTAGCCATTCTCAATAAATATCAAGTACTTCATGGAGTCATGAATGGGTTGTGGGTGTTACCTCAAAACTAGCGCTTGTTTTTTGTGGTGCAACGAGGATGTGAACTGCTGTAGCACAGTTAGTTTTTGACTTTTTCTATTATGCGAAAGTTTGAAGTTCAAATCTGAGTTGGATCAGAATTATTTTTCTGTGTTACTGGAATATTTTCTCTCAGTTCAATGTCATTGTGAACGATGAAGTACCCTACCATTGAAATTGTAATGACTTACATTGTGTCTACTTTGGTGTTTAACTTGAACAATGGCCGGGGCACACTGAGGAATTCTTACTTTCATGACCCACAGCATTCATACTGGCCGTTGCACTTACAGCTGTATGTAGGTGTGAGTGAAAGAGTTTTGCAAACTGTTTTCAGAAACTATGCTGTGAAAGAAGGTAGACTAGCAGTACCCGCAGTTTTTAGCCTCATTTACACCAGGTCATGAATATTTGACCACTGAGAAGAGAAAACTAAGCATTTTGTTTTGTTTAGTAAATCTAGCCTTATCTTGATGAGCAGTGAATGGGCGGAAAATGTATTTTGTTGTGTGATTTTCACAACTGGTTTATTCTTGAAGAAAAATATTTGTTTAGGTGGATTAGAAGATCTTATAAGTTTGAAGGCAAAGTTTTAGAAACACTTAGATTGGCTGTGCCCAGCAGTACTGTTGTTTGAACCCTGCAGTCTGGAAGAGTCTTTGAAATATTTTTGCTTTTGAAACTGTTGCAAGTACGTAAAGAAAATTTTCTGTTCTGGTGTATCTATGAGAAGAAAATGGAATAATTTGTAAACAGTGAGACATGATGTCAAGATAGTTTTATTGTCTTACTGGAAGATTTTAAGTGCCTTGACTGATCAGTCATTTTCAGAATATTAGATCAGCTTGTCTTTGTTAGTGTGGACTGCAACGCATGACCAAGTACCTAGATCTGCTTGGTCATGTTACCAAGTCCTGACAGCAAGAGGGGTCTTCTGGGAGTGGGCTTTGAGTTTCAGCTCTCTCTTCGTTCCCCCCCTTACACATGTTTAGTTTGCTGCCATTGTAAAGATGAGGAAATTGGTAACTGCTGTGCTTTAAAGCAGTTTATCAAAGTCGAATGTTGAAGCTAAATTTGCAGAAGCTCATTTTTGTAAAAGATATCAAGTACTTCATGGAGCAACTAAAAAGGTTGTGAGCATTAACGGGAGATTTGCAGATAGTTTTGTACTCGAACAAGAGCATTCCAGTCGCTGTGACTCGATAACTCGTTCTGCTGCATGGCTATTTGAAGGTCAAGTGTGAGGGGGCTATTTGTCATTCTTCTTGGAATACTTTCCTTCTGCTGGGTGTCCTGATAGGGGATGATGTACTCTACTGTTGAAAATATCAGCATTAGGTCTAGTTTGATGTTACACTCTAACAACTGGAAGTAGCTTACTGCTGTCATCTGTATCTTTGTATTATTTTCTACATCAGACATTAACTGTTATGATCTGTTGAAGTTATGTTGTCTGAAGCCAACACTGCAGTGTGCACATGTTGCGCTAATGTATATGAAAAGAGATTATCAAGTGTCTTGTAAAGGCTGCAGGTGCCCATATTCAAACCTTGTGGTCTCAAAGAATCAGTAAAATATTTGCCTATTTTCTGAACCAGGGGAGAATGAAAACTCTTATTCTTATGTGTCTATGAGAGAAAATTAAATCAGTGCAAAACAATGAGGAATGTGGTAGAGAAAGTTTATTATTTGAATGATTTCTTTGACCTTACACTTTACTTATAAGTTTTGGTACTTTGTTTTGACTGCTTTTTTGTTACTCATTCCAGGACATCAACGAAGAGTGGATCTCTGACAAGACTCGTTTTGCTTACGATGGGTTGAAGAGGCAAAGACTGACCACGCCATTTGTGAGGAGTGGGACTGGGGAGCTGGTGCCTGCTGACTGGGAGAGTGCTTTTGTCAAGATTGCAGAAAGGGTAAGACTTTTTTTCAAATGTGCCTTGTGAGTGTGTATGCTTATTCAGTGCTATAATTATTTAATTTAGTAATTATTTATTGTTCATGCTGAGCTGTTTACGTTTCAGTGTTGTTAGAATAAGTGGATTTTTTGTCTCACAGACATGCGAGATTACGTTTTCAGGTTTTTGGTCAAAGTATAGGAGTTGAAAACTGCTGGACACAAGAGGTTTTGAAATTTTGCTTCAGGTAACTTGTGGTCTTGGCTTAATGTGTTTGTGCTATAATTTTGTTACTTTTTAAAGGAAAAACAACAATAAATAAATGATGCTCTTTACTTATGAGTTTTATGCTCAATGCACTTCTCTAGGTCAATGCCACAGATGGGGACCTCATTGCTGGTGTTGCTGGCGGTCAGGTGGATGCTGAGGCTTTGATTGCCCTCAAGGACATGTTGAACCGACTTGGATCGGAGTCTGTCTGCACAGAGGAGAAGTTCCCAATGACAAACTCTGGGTAAGATTCAGGGGGCACTTTCATTTCACATCAGTGAAGTCTTTGTTTAGCTACGACAAATGTTAATGACTGATCAAAGCTGTATTTTATGTTAACTCTTTATCTCCGGCAAGCCGCTCCCAGTGGCTCGCAGTTGAAAGACATGCCGGTGAGCCGCTGACAGCAGCTCAGGTACATTCCTTTACAACGACTTCGACATCAAATTACTTTTCGGCAATTGCCGAAAACAGGTCTCTTATACCAGAAGTTCATTCATTAGATGAAGAATTATCAAAATAGGTTTGCTAATTTAGATTTAATGACCCATTTAATGGCGTTTTTGTCATTTTTAGATTTAGCACTAAAAAGGGCCCCGGCATAGTGGGTTTCTCAGAGATAAAGAGTTATGTTACTTCAGCTTTTTCTATTAATTGTATTGTATACTACAAGCTACAAGTGATTTTGAGAGACAGAAGGAAGAAATCCATCATTCAGACTTTATGTTTGATTACTCTTGTAGGCCTAGTGATTATTCATGTGATATCATCCAGCATCAGCATTATATAGGTTTACAATGGATCAGCAAATAGTGTACTTGTCTTGGCACTGTAACATTCATCTTTTTTTACACCACTAATCAATCTATTTCAGTTATTGTCTCATTTATTGACCATTTCATTTTGATCATATCAAAATCTTATTTGCTTGTTTTTTTAGTTGAAAGCACTAGGTCTGTCCAGATACTTGAGTCTGGTCTTCGTATAAAAATTGATTTCTTGTCATTTCACCACTTTTGTTTTTTCTCTTGGCGTAGTCTAGATGTGTATGAGAGTATAAAATCGATAAGAAACTCACCTATGACAAATTGTTTGATTTGGGTACATTTTTATCGGAGCTCGCACATGGTTAGATTTAAAAATAATGTCTCCTCTTCTTGTAAATCGTCATAGCCCCCCGCCGGCTCTTCTTGATTCAGTACCCACAATGTTCAGGAAAAGTGTTCTAACTGTATTCTAGCCTGGTGGTACAAGAATGTTCTGAGTTTTTAAAGTAATTTTTTATATGATTTGTGGTATGTTTTGCATTTAACAGTCTTTTGTCTGCGATATGGATTAGCTTTTTCACTAGTTCTGTAATTTTTGTCTTGTTAGGATTGACTTCCGGTCAAATTACATCATGAACACTACCATCAGTGGGATTGAAGAAAGCGACCTGATTCTCCTTGTTGGAACAAACCCAAGACTGGAAGCCCCTCTTGTTAATGCCCGTATCAGGAAAACGTGAGTCAAGTACAGCTCTTCTTGCCCTTTTGTTTTTGATGGACTTTTTGAAGAAAGAAATGTATGACACATTTGTGACATCCCCATAAACATTCAGTAAGCCAGTTCTTTCTTTTCTGTATAGATCTATACTTGCCATTCTCAAATGGTCGACTTAAAATATTGCTACAACTCAAATTTACATGAAAGTCAATACTTACCAAAAGAACTTTACTTTCCCAAATTTTTGTACCTTTGCGTTTATGGTTGCTCTATTTGAAATTTGTACATTTATGTTTCGTTTGAAATGTAAAACTGGATGTGTTCATGGCCTTCTCCAGGTGGATCAACAGTGACTTGTGTGTGACTGTGCTGGGAGCTCCTGTGGATCTGTCCTATGATTATCAGGTAGGGATACTAAACTTCTTAGAGTTCTGTTACATCTATAAGGTGAATGTTAATGTGAATGCATGGAGACTAATGTGAGATGTTGTCAAAAGCTAATGAAGTTCTCAGGTTCAATGAAGAGAAGATAATAGGTGTCTTGACTCGAGAGCAAAAACCTGTTTAATTTTTGAAATTTAACAAGTTAATGTTGAGTTTATGTTGTTTTTAAGGATTCTGATAGAATTCAACCAACATGTTTACGTTGCTGTGTTTGAAGTTTTAACATTGTTTTGAAGAGTGCAAAACTGTAGCTGTGACCCAAGCTTTCCAGAATGTATACCTGCATGTTTGCCGACAATCGTCTGAAATCCGACAATCGCGACCCGACCCGCGAGCAGGCCGATGCTATCGCTAGGCCCACCTGTATTAGGGCCTAGTCAATGTGTGTAGTGCGAGGCCTGGCCGACTGCCAGCGCCCCCTTTTTCTCCCGTCGGCTTTGTCGGCACTTTCGTTTTCGTGCCGACTGCTGACGTCGGCGTTTCCGACATAATTGTCGGAACCTGAGTAGAAATGCGAATGCGAAAAAGGACGACGACCTGAATTATCTACTTTCAGTTTCGTGCTCGAGCGGCCATTTTGAATTTCGTTTGTTTACTGATTGTTCAGATCATGTGGATTCTTTCAAGTCCAACTCACTTGTTCTAAGATAATAGAATCTAGATCTAGATTTATATAGATCATGTATAGATCTCAATGGAGGATTCATATTCCAATTCTATTGTGTCAAACCCTATCATAGGTTGTGCTGTAATATTAATGTTGGTGAAAAGCATTTCATCAAGTGCGTGAATTATTTATTATTTAGAGTCTAGACTCAGCTGAGTCCCTCTGTTTGGAATCGGATGCGGATTTCTAGTTCAAGGCCTATTCCTATTCACTTGTTCTACAAGATCTAGATCTAGATTTATTTAGATTACTAGATCTATATGGAGGATTCATATTCCAATTCTATTGTGTTATTGTATCAAACCCTGCCCTATTATAGCAGTTTAGGTGTAGGATGCTCCTTGTTTGTTTTGGAGTGTGGTTTTTTAATTTTTTAATTTTTAAATTTTGGACGTGTTCTGGCCTTTTTACATGAGGCCCGTTGTAGGTTCTTTTTAATTTTTAGGGTTAGGGTTAGGTCTCTTCTTTATTGTGTTTCTTGGGGTGGTCACTCGTTACTCGGAAGTCCTTCCTTATGACACCCACAAAATTGACAAACTTTAAGCTCTTGGGGGGGGGGTTGCGCAAAATTTTCAGACAATCTGGTTAAGGCTCACATGCAGGTCTAAGTATGTCATACATTTTAAAAGTGTTTCATTAATCTTATTTGTTCTTTTTGGATTGCAGTACTTGGGAGACAGCTTTGAGCTGTTGACAGACATCTTGAACGACAAGCATCCTCTTGCTAAGGTATGTGCTTTCATTACTGTTTATTTGAGCAGTGTTCTTGGTGTTAAATTTGGGAAGAATTTTTTAATTGAAAATAAAATAAATGTTTTTAAATATAGAAAGGTATAGTTGCTGATGACAAGTCAACACAGTACACATGTATTTCAAGTGTGTTTTGAGGGTAACCATTACCTTGTTGTCTTGTCACTACAGGGTCTGAAGGAGGCCAGCAAACCCATGATCATCCTGGGAAGTGCCGTCCTACAGGGTGAGAACAGTGGAGCGATTCTGGACACTGTAAAAAGTCTGTCGGAGAAGTTGCGTGCGGGCTCAGAGCAAGAGGACTGGAAAGTCTTCAATGTTCTACACACAGTAAGTGCCTCGTGATCTCCCCAATCAGACTCACCACTTTTTTTTGTAGTAAGTCCAACACATCTTAAGGGCAGTATTAGTAGGTAGCGTAAGCACGGCCTCGCGGGCACTCGCGGCCTTCCGACCGCGTGGTATCGGTGAAATCGGGGTAATTCCGATCGCTGTTTCTTTGCTCTTTCGCTATAAAACACCAAGTGCCGTACACCTTGTAAAAGTTCAGCTTTTCCTTGTTACAATGGTGTAAGTTGTTTTTATGTCCGATTAGTAGGAGCTGGAGATTCGCCGACGAAAGCGAAGCCCCTCGCGGTCGGAATGCGTGGTCGGCCGGTTGAAAAATTGACACGGGTGCATTCAAATGCTTCGCGGAATGAGGAATGATTAAATACCGTCTTTTCATTGGCGGAGAACTGTAGAGCTTTAAACGGGCTTTCCCGTGGTATGTGTTTTGCCTTTGGAGTCTAAATAGAAAGCTTTTAAAAATACTGTCAAAATGTTTAAAGGTCACTTTTTACCCATAATATGTAAAATACGGGCTTAAAAAATATATGTGATAAAAGATCAGCTTATTTTCTATTAGAATAAAGTAATCAGCTTGGAATTATTTTTCATCAATCCTTCCGCGAGACTCAGAAAGCATGTGACCCCGCACGCGGGGTACACTACAGTATAGAGCCGACTCGCTCGCCGCGGGGCCCGGTGCGGCGCTGGCGGGGTCGACGCTCGGTGTTTTTGTCGAAATAATGACAGATCATCGTGTTTGAGGCGATAAAGTACTGATTTGTAATGATCTCACAGTCTTGAAAAAATTTAGGCTCCATATATTTGTTATAGTGATTGTACTCTGTTAATGTGGAGATGTTTAGTGCTCTTGGTACTCTTTTATTGTCTGTCAAACATGGGGTTGCAGCCAGTGACTGACTTTAACAAAATTGATCAAATTTTAAACAGCTACCATTTTCTTAAAAATTGATTGAGAGGTTAAAGAATGGTACCAAAATGCTCAGTGGATATAGGCCTTTCAAATGGAACTGATAAATTTGGCATACAACTACTTTGAAAATTTAGTTTCTGGTACCTAGTATTAGTTGGTAATGGACTGTTGAAGCAAACCAATGAGATATTTAATTCTTTATCTTTTATCGGGACCTATTGAAGGAGAAGTGTTTCATTCATATCAGTAGCAAATTAGTTGAATGCATTTTACATATATAGGTAGAACATGTTAGTGTGAATGGAAGAAACTTTAAATGTGATGTGGATATGAACATTACAGGAATTTTAAAGATATGTCTTTAAATGAGTTTAAGACTTTGGTGCTGTTTTCATTTGTCAAGTTCACAAAATTATTGTAGTATTAGAACATTTGACCTGTGTTTGTGGTGTAGTGGTTAGACGCCTTGCCATGTAAGAAGGGAGAATTTTCATTTTCATTGATCATCTCAGTCTGACAAGCGGGGTTGGAAACCCGTCTCCTAAGTGATCTGAAATGTGTCAATAGAGGTGTAAAGACACCTACATTAAAAAAAATGTTTTAAAAGAATATTTAAGTTTTTTAAGAATGTAAATGAGATTAAATGATATGAGAAGTCGATAAGGGAACTCTGCCAGCTGGTACAATTTGTTGCTGTATTTGTCCTTTCAGCAAGCGAACCAGGTGGGAGCTCTAGACCTGGGCTACGCTCCTGGTGTGGATGCCATGAAGGGCTCCAAGCCCAGTGTGCTCTTCTTGCTGGGGGCAGACGCAGGCACGGTCAAGCGTGAGGACCTCTATGAGAACGCCTTGGTGGTCTACATAGGTCAGTGGCAGTGGTTGTAAGCTTCTTGTGTGGTGATACTTGTCCAGATTAGCTTCAGTGGACCTGTAATAGTACTACGGTTGACTAAGGATGAGTTGATGTCTTCTGGGGGAGTGAAAAAAAAATCAATTCATTCGAATATCAATTTAAATGTTGGGACTTGTAAAGAAGAAGAGGAGCTGGGTTCCGAGAAAAAGATCAATTTAACCAAAGATCAGCTCAAGCGTGTTCAACTTAAGTGGAGTCAACCGGTTTTCCCCTGTGGCTTTGTTTTTAAGATAAAATTGAAAGAGTAAGTGGCAGGAACTCCGAATTTAATACCCATCCCCTGTAAAGTCAAGTGCAGTGGATGATTTAGAGCCATGAAAACATCCCAAACAGTCATAAATGTGGAAAATCTAGTTCAAAAGGAGCAGAAGGTTCAATGTGGACACAGTTTTTTTTCACTTGCTATTCTTATTGTTGAAAAGGTAGATACATTGTGTCATGATTAGAACACCTTTTTGTTCAGCTCAAGTTGCATGAAAGTGGCTGCGTTTCTTTAGTGCATCTTGTAGTGATTAGGTTTTGGTCATGTTGGCATAAGGGCAAACACATTTCACGAATGGAGTATTTGATTTTTCTCATGGTTGTGATTTTGTTAGATGAGTGATGTATTGTTATTTTCCCCCAGGCCACCATGGTGACTATGGCGCACAGATCGCAGATGTTGTCCTCCCTGCGGCTGCTTACACAGAGAAAGATGCTGTCTATGTGAACACTGAGGGGCGTGCCCAGATTGGACGGCAGGCGGTCAGTCCACCTGGCATGGCTAGACAAGACTGGAAGATCATCAGAGCTCTCTCTGAGGTAAGTCGTTCTTGAGGGTTCTCAGATGTTGGGTAATCATTCCATCCTCGGACTGTTTGCTTAACACTAGGTATGTTTATTTCTCATAGCTGTGAAGTCATGCCTAGAGTCTTGAACACTTTACAGACCTTTCCAGAATCCATCATATTCATCCTCCAGTCTCTTGGCTGTATGCAGTCTTGCTGCTGTGGAAGCCCAAACATGTGAAGCTATTTCTTGAGATTTTTTAGCCATACATTACCTCGTGAACATGAAGCCTCCTGCTGTGGGGCTGTTTGTGGGTGGGAGATTGGAATTGAGCCCAAGAGAAGTATGAAAATTGGGTTACTGAATGGTTACAGTTTTGCCCATAAAATGTGTGTGACTGATAGGACAGTGTTCGTTGTGGTTCCTTTTGCTTCAGCTGATTGTGGTCTTTCTCCATTTTCAGTTGTATCTGGAATTGTTTTAAGGTTGGAACTGGATTATTTTAAATGAAAAGTGGAAGCAGACTTTTTTTTTTTAGATCAGGAACAGATTTGGAAGTAAGTGGCTAGTGGCAGCTTGACTGGTGCTGTTTATGTACACTGCCCTATATGAAATGTGGTAATTTTGAAATATTATTGTGTCGTAATGTGTATATATAAAATATGCTTTACTTTTTCTTTCTTTCCCAGATGTTGGGAGTGACATTGCCATATGATAAATTGTCTGACGTTCGAGCCCGACTCGGTGAGGTCTCTCCGACGTTCAACCATGCTGGTCAAGTTGAAGATGCAGGATTCTTTAATTTGTCAGATAGCGCTACTGTGGTAAGTGTTTGCTATGAATCACAGTCTGTGGGATTTACTGAAATATGAGATTGTAGGGGAGGTAGGACCATTTTTTTTATCTTGCTTTACAAGCTACTTAGTTAGTTTTGTCAGTGTGTTAATGTTTCTCAAAGTGCCACATAGGACTCTTTTGTGCCTTTGCCATTGTTGAATTATATTGGTTTTGAAGATGTAGTTTTTTGGGGGGAGATGGGGGTAGTAAAAGGTTTGACATTATAAGTAGCAGTCCTTCCCAGCCTGCTTTATTAGATGAGATAAATGATAGAAATCCTTCTGTGAAATTACACATGAAGGACAAACATCTTTATTCTCACTATACTCTTTCTTTCTTCTCAAAGCGCCATAAAGCTCGTGTTGTAAGTTTGCTCAAATATGGTGAACTGGGTCCCTGAGGAACAGATGACTTTCTGTTGATACTGCTCTTTTGTTGTTGTTGTTGTTTTTTGTTGTTGTTTTTTTTGTTTTAGTTTAAATGTACTTTACTCAAAAGCATTGTTTTTCCACGTTTGTGCCTGTGTTAATAGAATCAATGTCTTTTTATCAAGTTATCTTTCATCATATATCTTCTGTTTATTTGCTTGCTTACTACTTCGTTTAGTGGAGCATGTTGTGCTGGACTAATAATAATAATAATAATTTGCGCTTATATAATGCCTATCCATGCTGCAAAGCATTCTCTGTGTGCTTAAAACTAGACAGTATTCCCTTTTTTGTGTGGAGCCTTTGACAGGTTTTATACTGCAAAATTGGAATGTTAAGCTGTTGCCGTTATTTAATTATGTTTTAAAAAAATGCTTTCTTCTTTCTTTTCCTCGTTAACAGCCGCGCAAAGAGAGCAGGCCAGCCGTTCAACCGCTCAGCCCCGCCCTTCTTAGTCTGCGAGATTTCTACATGACAGATCCCATTTCGCGGGCGTCTCTCACCATGGCCAAGTGTGTGCAGGCTGTGGACGATGCGGAGAAGAACCCCTACTCCAAGCCAGAGCAGTCGTGAAACTTCGCACCTAGACTAGAACTATTGGCTCTGTGATGTCTGAATAGCTTTTTATTTTCAAATCATATAGGAAGGATGTGAATGGGCAAAACACAAAATAGATAATGTTGGTGTGTCCACCACTTTTATTCTAGGTGGCTTTTTGTGTGTTTTCAGAACATGTACTCGGGTTATGCAAGAGAGCATAAGTGTGTGAGAGAAATGGCTTAGTCTATAAATGTGTCTCAGTACATTACAGATTGTAGACTACCTTGCATGATGGATTTTTTTCATGCTTGGCTGTCAAATGTTTCTAAAACTGAAAATTTTTGTCAAGTGTTGTGTCCGATTGAACTTTAACCATGGGATTTGCATATTAAGGGAAGTTTCTCAAGGCAAGTAGAACTTTGTGTCATCAGACGACTGTCAGTTTGACTGACGTAAATGTGTTTTTGGATTTTTGTGAGGGTATTAACACCACTTCCATGCAATCTAATCTCTCTGAATTAGTTTCATAAGGTCTGGTTGACAATAATAAGGTCTGTAGGGAAGAAAGTCTTTAGAAAATGAAATGTAAATAATGTTCGGTTTGAATAAAAGACTTTACGTGGAACAATGGCGTCTGTTATTTTTCACTTTTATGTGCTGTCTAAAAACCTTTTTTACTCTCCTAAAAATGAATGTGGGCCTATTTAACCCCTTCCTTGCCGTATGATGTACCTGGTAAGTCATGAAAATGTGTTATTTTCAGCACTGTGCTGTACCATGTACATCATGGAAGTTGGCAAGATTTGCCACTCCTGGTTGCTTATATGACGTTACATGTATGTCACGCTAATAACCTGGCTCTAATTCTTCTGTACAGTTTTAGCCACAAGTGCAGCGTAGATTCCTATTTGGTAATAAAAGACGTGCTTATCAATACCAAATTTGCTACTTTACCTCTAGGCTTGCAAGCGATCGATAAACACAGATCTAAGCTTGCGGGCGGCTGCATGCTCTCGTAAAATGTAAACATCGAAATTACTTTAAAAAGGCAAATAAATTCACTTTTTAACTTAGATTTGCGGGTCATTCGAAATCATAAGTAAGATGGAAGGTAGTGGGGTGTAAAAAAAGTGAGAAAAGTGACACAATTGAAGACCCGGTGCCCGATATACGTCACAAGTGCTCTAGATGTAGACCCTGTGTCCATTAACAATGAGACATTAGGCTGCTGTCTTGAGTAGCGAGCTCAGCCGAAAATTGGTGCTGACAGTAGGAATGTGTACTTTTTGGCAACGAAAGGGTTAATTTCAGTGTTCAAGTGATACCTTCACAGCGACTTCAGTCTCTGACCCATTTTGTTTTGTGGTTTTGTTGTGTCGTTCAGGGGCATTCATTCTATGTTTCCTGCAGTGTCACCTGCACTTTCAACACTCACCAGTGGACGGTATCAGAAGATGGTTTATACAGCTCCACAACTTTTTGCCTGTATATATTTACTGTAGGCCTACTTAATGTACTGGATACAGTACAGCCTTGCTGGGAGATTTTAACTTTCTCAAGTTTCACACAAAATGTAATTTCAAATTTCAACACTGTCAAAACATGATGTTGCTTTTACTGAATAGCGAGTTTTGCCTTGATCCTTAACCTGCTTTAGTTGATGTCACGCTTGACTTCTTTTCTACTGCCTTGTGTTCCCCTGCTAGATCTCGGGGGTAGTCGACTGCTTGTTTCTCAACCTACAGTGCAACTGGTTTTTACGTATGTGGCCGTTTTTCCTGTTTGGTAGGGCCCCTTGCCTTCAGGCAGCCATTTTTGAAGGTACCCTCATATGTGTTAAGTACTGACTAGAGTATTTTCAATTTTGGTAGGAATTAATTTTGAACTTTGCACGGGGAACGGTCAGAAGCCAACTCTTAATAACTCTTATCATGGGTGGTTGATGGGTGCTCTGGTGTGGTTTACTCCTTCTTTCCTATCAAACATCTGTGGTCCTTACCTCACTTCCTTCTTTTTTGTGTTTGTTACTCTCTTGTAACACGTAATCTATTCTTCTGCACTTATATGCCCTTATTGTGATGCAAGTGCCGTAAAACTCTTACTGAAACTAAAACTACTCTTATCGATTTTAGGACCACCAAATGATTTTTAATGTGCGCTGCTTGCACTCAGGATCTCCGAGGTTTTTTGCCCTTATCCGAGAAGGCTAGGTGTTCAATCTTACTTACCCTATGATCAGGGGTATGGCTGAAAGACAGCAGTAAGAAAAAGCCAGGAGAAGCAGTACATATAGAAAGAATCAGGAGTAAAAGAGAACAGATAATAATATGTCTAGTGAACAGGAAAGGTCAGGGGAGTAAATTCTAACGAAGAAAATTCTTCCGTTGTCAGGTTTCAAACTTGGGACCTATTGAATGGCAGTTGAACACCGTAACTCAGACCACATGAGCCCCCTTGCTTGACTCACTGTGATGCAGATAACCCTTGCTTTTTTGTTTGAGGCATTCTTGAATATATGAATTTAAGAAATTTTCTTGGCTTATCATTTTAATTTTATAAGAGATTCACAATGACAATGGAGTAGAAGCAAGAAAAGCTGAAACAATATCTTTGCCAAAACATTAATTAAAGGCACAAAAATGTGTGGCGTCGGTGGCCTAGTGGTTAGGCTCTCGGACTCGCAACCGTAAGGTCGTGGGTTCGAATCCCGTCAGGGACCTGACGTTG